AGAGTGTTCCTAAAAGACGGAAAAGGATAACAGGGAAGAGAAAACCTTATTGGCTTCCTATGGACGTAAAGGAGAAAATCAAGGACAAATGTCAAAGTTTAAGAGGTTTAACTGACAGGTAGGATGATAGATCTACACAGCTATAGGTTAGCTAGTGACTGTTTTTAAAAATAAATTAGGAAATCTGAATTAGCAAAGCTTGTGGATAATGTTAACACTAACAGCAAGTTTTTTGAAACACTGTTACAACTGTTTCTGTTGTTGGGCAGATTTTTTTTTCTTTATTCAATAGATACTAATGTAAGGTCTAGTCCACTTAATGATAACAAAAACATTTTATTTCTTGAGCTGAACCTTTTTGGTTAGTTTAATTCTCACTGACAAGCCTAAGTTAACAGTATACAAGATAATGTTCCTTAACTATTTATTTTATTTATTATATTCATATTTACATATCTTTTCCTCCAATATCTCGTTGAGCTTTCTCTCGAGTTTATGTATTTCAAATATTTATGTATTGTCTTAATTTAAGTATACAAACTCATAAATAATGATATGAGCTTTCAACTTAATCCATTGTGGAAAAAATTTTTTCAACCAAATATGTATGAAAAAACCAGACCGAGAAAACAACACTTGCTAGATGTCGCTATACACACACATAAACAGTATACCCTGTAAAATGACACATGTGGTACGTCAAAACTTGTCGGAGTAATCAATCTTCATGTATTTGTAAATTTGTGTTTGTTCTTCATAATTTAATTTGTGCTTATAAAGCTGTAAATCTTTACAACACATTTTGCTTTACTTGTCACAGTTCAAATAAATACTCTGTTTTGTTTTTAAGAACCCCACTGTTATCTCTTGGATTATTCCCAGTGTAGAATAAAGGACTCATTACAAATAGAAACTAATGCAGTTATTTTATTTATGCTCTAATTTTTTCACACATTTCTTCACTAAATACTGAACTCACTATTCACAAAACTGAATGACTAACCACAAACAAACAAACTCACTAACTCAATCATCCTCTTTAACAGACTCACAAACCCATAATTTTTTACTGACTAATCCAGCAAAACATCTTTTATCAAACTTTTTTCTTTTTCACTACAGTAATAAGGCTAACTTGGTCTATAATTTCCAGAGAAAGTCTTATCACTCTCCAACCTTAAAAATAGGAGTAACGTTAGCATTTCTCCAATCATCAAGCATTTTCTCACTGAGAAAAACATTGTTTAATCCTGTATGTATAAGTATACATGGACAGTCTTCTACCATAAAACAACATACACTGTGTATAATTCTACATAATACTTTACCTATGTTATGAGTCTTAACCTACAATTGTTTGATCCTAGTGCTTTATCTATTTTTTATCTCTCAAGGTTTCTTTTTACCACCAAGAGGTCAGTCCCAATATTTCTCACAAAATACTCAAGGTCAGGGCTACCTCTAACATACAGTCTTGTGAAATCAGAAGAAAACACTTAATAACTTAGGTTTCTTATAACCTTCAACAAATATCTTGCCATCAGCATCCTTTAAAGACCCATTTCCCATTTAACATTTTGTTTAAGTTTGTAGGCTGTGTTTTGTAACTCAGATGTTTGTATTGTTGTTGGGCAAAGGGAAGTTTGACATTTTATGATGGTCATGGCCTTGAAAATTTAGGAAATTATTATAAAAGGTTAAATCAACTGGTGAAATATCCTAAAAAAAATCAACATGGATTTGCTAACTAGAAATCTTCCTTTACTAATCTGTAAATTTTTTTTTGCAGATGCTACATGCTATCTAGATGATGTAGACTTAATGCATTTAGATTTTCCAAACATTTTTTACAATGTGATACACAAAAAATAGCTAGAAAAATCCAATCAGTGGGGGATTGGATAGGACTAGTAAACTGAATTTTATGATTGTTGGATCAGAGAAAGCAAAATGTTGTTATTAATGAAATCCAGTCAAACTGGAACCTCATTACTAGTGGAGTGTTTCAGGAGTCAATGCTTGAGTCTGCAGAAGTGTTCTCTTTCAAGAGTAAATAAAACCAAAATTAAAAACAACAAATATTTTCATTTCTTGCTTTTGAAATTCATATGTCATGTTGTGTCATAGCCTACAGAATGCATAATACTTCTTATGATTCATGGCATGTGCACATTTTACTGAAACAACTGTACAAATTGCACCATTAAGCATCCCTTATGTGACATCATTTTAGTGTCTACTGATTGACAACACACTACTGTATAGTGGTGCGAGTAGTTAAAACAGGTGACCCCTCCAGGTGGCCTTCAGCTGCATACTTATTAAATAAGTTTACTGATGACATTCAACTATTAGGTGTTTATAGCTATTTTGAGGATGTCAAAGTATTGCAGAATGACTTGGATCAACTAGTAAGCCAGACAAATATTTGGCAAATGACCTTCAATTATAGTAGGTAATTAAGCAATTATAGAAGATAATGCATTTAAGCCATAATAATTTGGATCACACATTAATATAGATGGGAACCCACTCAATAACATGATGGAAAGCAAGAATCTTGGAAAGCAGTAAACAAGTTATTCAAACAATTGATCATCAGTGCTCTGTTGTTAGTAGGAAAGGCAACAGAATTTTAAGGTGTATTTTAAAGACACAGTGATTACAAATTAAAAGACATAATTATCTTTTTATACAAATCACTAGTTACATCTCACTTCGAATACTGTGTACAGTTTTGGCTACCTTATCTAAAGAACTTATTAGAAATGGTCCAGAGGAGAGCAATTAGAATGATTCTGGAGATAGAAAGTTATCTTATGGGGATAGGTTAAGACATCTCAACTTATTTTCGTTTGAGAAAGGAAAGGTAAGAATAGACCTTTTTTTTTAGGTTTACTTTATAAGATTATCTGGGGAATCAATAGGATAAGTCTCTGATTTATTTTGTGCTGTATTTTGAAGACAACATAAACTCAAAAATATAAAAAGACAGGTTAAGTTCCAGTTATATTTTTTTTAACAGGGTGGTTAGCTTGGAATGAGTGAAGATGATCTCTCTACAAGATCTTAAAAGAAGAATAAATAATTATTTCAAAACTGAGGGTGGGTTTAAATTTTCACTTACTCTCAAGGCTGGGTGTGCAGGGACAGCTTTGAATAACCAAACGGTCTCTTGTTGTTATGAACATAACTCATTAGTATACTTGCCTACTTACACATTTCATTGATGACTAACTCAATTACATCATGTAAAGAGATGCAGATATGAAGCCTATCTTCCTTCTGTCGAATCTTCTACAGTTCCATCACAATACCTACAGAAATTTTCTTTCATAATATTGAAGCATCCCTGTACTTCACAAGTGAGTACTGTAAAGATATAAAAACATTTGAATGCATTTTAAAAATCTTAATTCCTTAACATAAATACTGAAAATTAAATTACACCACTGGCAGAAAACATTTTGTAGTTATCTGTTTATTTTTTTACATTGTGAACTTGTACCTTTTGTTTGCTATACAATGTCACCCCTATTGTCTTATAAATACAAAATATATTTATGTAGCCTATATAACCATTTCTGCCAAGCTTATAAACACTAAAGTCCTTTGTTATAATTTTTCTAATTGTTTTATGTCATCAATTTTAATTGCTTAATGTTGTCATTTGCTTATATTTTTTGGGTTAATAAATCTTATAAAACTCATTAAGGCTTAAGAAGTTATGTACTATGTTCTAAATAAATCTAATGTACCAACAATTACATAAAACGTTTTTGTACCTGTATCTGAAATGGCTTGGAAATATGTATAATTTTTATTTCTTAATTTCCACTGATAATGATACTGTGACTGAGTGTGATAGAAGCTTAAAACACTACCCTGAATGTGAATAATTAAATAATAAACTGTTACTGTTAACGATCTTTTTAGCCTTGTCAACATCAAACATTTTACTAAACTTTAAAGCAAGTTTTTTACTATTAGTACTACTACTACTCGTACTATACAACTACTACTAGAAGTAGAATTACTTTACTGTTGTTTTTTGACTTATTCACATGGCCTGAAGTTTTAGCTTTGCAGCAATTCTAATAATATAAAAAAATTAATGCAAGACTTACTGAATTGAATACATTTTCAAAATAAAACATTTCCATTTAATATAATGTTAACTACAAAAAAAATTAATAACAGTAATCATTAAACTCACTTTAGTTTTTATATTTTAACTTTTAAGGCTTAGCATCTGTACAGCATACGACTTTCTCAGTTTCTGTGCCGCGTAAATGAAAACATTTCTACGAACTCTAGTCTAATCGAGTGAACGTTGTTTATTGAGTAAACCAATACAACACTATATTATTTAAAAATTAGTTGTTTCTGTATAAAACACGAAAGAGAAATATATTTAATATCCCACTTATGATTGTAACGTGAGCCTAATATAATACTTACTCTTCTAAACTCGAGGAGGTATTGATCTGAAGTTTTACAGAAATTGTGATATGATAATTTGTATTTAATAAAGAACAATCCACGTTCAAATTTCTAGAAATTATTTAACTTATGGCAACAAACAAGGTAAAATTAATAATTGAACATCACTGGAATAAAATATAATGATAAGCTTACATAATATCAAAACTAGCCGTGTCTTCTGCGTAATATCACGGTAAATCACGTTTTCGTGATACTTTTACCGGTCAATATTGAGAACCTACACTATCTTAGCGTAGGTTTCTCTCAGTGTGATGAGGCGGCCTGTAGAAAAAGGGTGTTATAGTAGAGGGTTCTTATTAGAATACTCGTCTTAGACGCATTAGTAAACTTCTAGATATATTTATAATACTATCGCGATTAGACTATTCAGGTAGTTCAAGAGTTAAACTGAAGTACGCGTTTTTAACGAACTGTCCATATGAAGACGTTTCAAAACGATATAAAATTGTACGCGTTTTTATACAGTCAGAATAGACAAAAACTGCTCAATAAAAATGTACGCTGGGAATATGCTCCAGCGTTCACCCAAACTCTCTCGAAGCTTAGACATGGAAACTCTTGGCCATGGATCGTCGTCCTCTAAGTTTTATACGTCCTCGATTTCTCAACCCCCTTCAGTTAGAAGCAGCCCTATTCCTTCCCGGATAATTTCTTCTCCTTCACAAACATATAGATCTCGGCATTTGAGAATAAGTAGATCAAGTAACAACAGTCCACTGAACTTACCAGAAGGGCCGCATTTCCCTCATTCCATTAGTAGCCGCGCATTTAATACTGGTGGTGTTTATTACGGTGACGAATTCAACAGGCCCATCATGGATATCAGAGCAAGTGCTTCCGAGCATCGTAGTCGGTCCGTAAACCGACCTATGCGTGGCTATCAATCGTTAGAAAGAGTTCCCGATCGTGAATATATCTCGATTCGAGAACCTAGACAAAGATCTCTTGGTGGCGTAGAAATTGATAGTAGACATTCCAGAGGTCGGGATCATTCCATGGAAGAAGCTATGTTTATGGAAAGAGATCAATCTGATATGTATTACACGGAGAGAGAATCAGTTATAGACTCCGTTCCTTATGCTGAAAATGGACCCTATGACACTCGTCCTACTCACACTTTTTCCGTTAACAACTTAGACAAGCACAATGAATATTCTCGTGACAATTTTATTATGGAGCTTCAATCACGTTTGAACGAGCTACAAAACCAATATGGAACTATGAAACGTGAACTAGACGTCACAACTCAAAAACTTGGGTCAAGCATGCATAGCATTAAAACGTATTGGAGTCCAGAACTGAAGAAAGAACGTGCCCTGCGCAAAGAGGAAGCTGCAAAATATGCGCTGATGAATGAACAGATGAAAATGTTTAGGTCCGAAAATCAGGTAGGGGGCTTTATTTGTACAAGTATTGTTGATTCTCTATACTTAAGCGCAAGGCTAAACAATGGGCTATCTGTGCATTGCCTACCACAGGTATCGAAACACAATTTTTAACGTTATAAGTTCGCAGACTTACCGCTGGGAGGCACAAATATTGTTGACATTCTTGGCTTTCTTCCTTGACCATATGATCAAACACATATATATATAGTTTGTTTGAAGTTAAGCATAAAGCTAGATCCATGCTCTGCCCACCACGGGTATCGAAACCCGGTTTCTAGCGTTGTGAGTCCGCAGACATATCGCTGTGCCACTGGGGGGGGGGGCATATATGAATATTATCAAATATGTTTGTTTGAAGTTAAGCACAAAGCTGCACAATGGGCCATCTCTGCACTGCCCACCACGGGTATCGAAAGTATATAGATAGATATAAATGGGTTGGCCAAAAATTTATTTAAAAACCATCTTGATAATTGATTTACTACAGTACAGCATATCCGTTTTTAATTATTACCAGCAATAAAATATTGTTCAAACACAAAGATTGGAGAACTATCGAAAATCTGAATTTTGAAATGTAAAGTTTATTATCTTAAGCAATAGAATATCAGAAAAAAATTGAAGTACATACTAAAGGTGCTAGTAAATGTATTTAGTAAAAATATATTATTACATAAGTTTCTTAGATACGAATAACGCAGTGTATCTTTTTATTTCGCTTTATTAAAACTTGATGTTCAGCAATTTAACTCACCGTGCACCGCACTGAGGTTTTGGGATTTCTCAGTATTATAACACGTCATATAGAACATTTTGACATTGGAAATTATGCCAGAAAATCTAAACGAGAATATATATGTGTCGTTGTTTTATTTTACGATTTATTTATTTTCAAGAATGAATCATAATTACTAGACTAACGTTACAACATTAAACATAGTTACACATAAATAACGTGTCATGGTTAAACTTGAAACGCGGCAGAAGTTTTTTTTAATAATTATTCTCTGCTATAGAAAGCTAAAACAAAACCGTCTCTCATCGAGAATCAGTTTGTATGTTAGTCTGTGGCTGCCAATATTTGTGTGATCGTTTTTGTTTCAATACTTTGTTGTTTCACAAAGAAAACATGTTTACAGGGAACATATATATTGCTTGTGGCTTGCCCCTAGTGGCACAGCGGTATGTCTGCGGACTTACAATGCTAGAATCCGGGTTTCGATACCCGTGGTAGGCAGAGCACAGATAGCCCATTGTATAGCTTTGTACTTAATTACGAACAAACAAACAAAGCTTCCGACTTTAAAAAAAATATTTTAGAGTGTGATCCTCCCCCTTTCCAGTAGGCCAGCGTTACATTTATGGACTTACAACGCTAACATCTGGGGTATGATTCTCCGCGGTGGACACAGCAGATAGCCCAATGTGTCTTGGCTCTACAACAAACAAATAGACTGTAATTAACAAAGCATTTAATTCTAAAACTTCTAAAACGTCTGACTTTTTGCAGAGTACTAGATTACGACGAATAAACTTTTGATATAATATTTTACAAACATTTTAACAAAATATTCATTCTGCAAACACGAGTTATATTACAAACTTTTTCTGCTTATTGTTCAATTCCCCGAGTGAATGGTTATTCAGTTCAGTTTTAGTGATACAGGAACTTAGACATGACTATTTTTTTTTCTAAGAAGTTTCCGTTTTGTAAAATAGTTAAAATACGATTCAAATATTTAAACTGGTTACCAATGTTATAAGGTTTATAAGTGCCAAATGATCTGCAAAAGTTAAACAGCAGTGGACAATGTTTTCGTGCAAATGAACGTTATTGGCTGAAAGGTATTTATCTTTAAGTTGTAATTTAATAGGATTATTATTAAATAAAATAATTCGATATATATTAGGTACGATCACGTGCACAGTGGGAATATTTACTAATAATATTTTAACTAGTATTTGATTGTAAGCCTAATTCATTTTTTTAAAAAAGGAACTAGGTGGATACATTTCGGAAATCGGTTTTTACTGTTTTATTTCTGAGTAAACCAAGAGACGAGTTGTGTGATATACGAGTTCTGGTGTCACTCCCTACCCCGACCCCCGTCTAACTGCATCGGCACCCACTCAATCGATAAACGCAAGGGATGTGCGGCCATTTTCTACACTAATAAAGATGCTTTCGTTTACAATAGAAGATATCCAATATGTACGTAACCCTAAAAGTTTGGTAAATTTTCATCGTATTGGAAAATAAATAATCATTTTATTTTTACGTTTTCTGGTTGAAACATAACTGTCTTTCAGTTATATGAAATGTCTTGGAATATCATAAAACAAACTGAAATGTTAGTTTTACAAAATCAGTTATTTATTTTGTAATAGGTTACAGGCGTTTCTAAACAGCAACAGGAATGTTCGGGTTCATTTGATAGGTCCGTAATAATACACTTACCAACTTCTCTTCTGTCATGCATGAGATCGATACAAGTTTCATAATATGAGTGTGCAAATCAGCTTAGAAAAATAAAGATGAAATAAGTAATCATTATTATTTAGAAAATATATTACTCCATTTTTCAGGATATTAAATAGAGTAAAAACAAACGTTAGATCAAAGAACTGCGATAGTCAACTTCAGTTAAAGACAACCTTTCAATTGAACACCATCAGTATTTTCATCTTCTTAACATATTTCTTTGTCATTAGTAAATATAGCTTCTGAACTGCACATGATATACATAAAATTTGATACGTGGTATGGTGTAATGTCATACAATTTTTTGAGTAATATACTTAAATTTTAATTTCAACAGAAGAATGTTAGTGTTGGTTGTTTTATTTATTCATATTATTTCACCGAAGCAGCGTAATTTACTGAAAAGTATTGTTTTTAGTCCCAACAAAATTAAACCCGCAGAAACGAATTTGTAAAGCGATGAAGCAAATCTACTCAATAACAAGGTGCTATATCATAGTGAGTGATGGAAATGGGGATATACGCCGTGTACCTAGTTCTCAGTTTACATTTTTCTCCCATTAGTTAAGTTTAGTACCACTGAAGATGTTTATTAACCCTATCGTCACGGGTCAAAGGCCATGTCGTCGCGCTTGTTGACTTACATTCAAAATTTTATTGAACTACTATTTTTATGAAGTTATGTCAATAAGTTTCGTATGAAATTGTAGACTATAATTTCAATTTTAGTGATGTTAGAAAAATATGTAGGTTCAAGAAGTCTTGATAGAAATGAATAAAAACCCTATAACCCGATCGGTTTTGAAAGGTGGATCTTTTTTCTTCAGTTTGCTCCTGAAGAAGAAAGGTCCGCCTTTCGAAAGCGCTCGGGTTATAGGGTTTTTATTCATTTCTATCAAGACTTCTTGAACCTACGTATTTTTCTAACATCACTAAAATTGAAATTATAGTCTACA